GCGCCTAGCTGGCAGGGGGGACATGACACACGTGCAGAAGGTAGTCCAGCGGCTACCATTCCCTCATCCCCACTGGAGCCCGACAAGGTTTCGAAATTACGTTGGTCCGAATCGACTGGGAGCACCTGGTCAGCGGCGGCGACTTCGGGGTCGTCGGGTGAGGCCTTGCACCATGCGTGTGGGGCCAGCTCTGAGGCCTCTGTTGCCGCTTCTAAGTATTTTAGATTGCCCCCAGGAGGCGACTTACCTTCTGACCCCTCGAAGTTTTTATCTGTGCCCCCCTGCCCTGATTGCGCGTTCCAGTTGTCGATCGAAACGGTGAACTGTACGAGTTGGTCTTCCATCGAGGCGTGGCTTGTAACCACGTCTGCAAACATCGTACTCGTGCAAGAGCACCACATCGTATCGGACGACGACGTAGCCAAGGCAGGACAATGGGCACTTAGGAGGGGTTGGAAATCTCGATTCAATCCAGCTATCAGAACCGCAGCAGGAGGCACCTCGGGAGGTGTCGCAATTTTGGTCCGCTCCTTCCTGGGTTTTCACGATCCCGAGTTCGGTCCGATCGTCGTCCCGTCCAGGGCTATGAGTGGAATCGTCCAGGTGCCAGGGGCCGTTACGGTTTTGGTCTCATCGGTTTACCTGTACGACAGCGAAGAGCTTACCAGCAGGATTCTTGACATATTGGCGGCCGTCTCGGCCAGGCACTCGCTCTACGAGGGTCCAAACGTGATAGGCGGCGACTTCAATATGATTCCAGAGGTCCTGGTTTCTTCGGGGGTCCCTGGATATCTGAAGGCGAATGTTATATACCCTGATATCGGCACATGTTCTAGTACTGGGGGTTTACGAGTCCTGGACTATTTTGTGCTATCGTCAGGTTTTACCCGATGCATTCAGGAAGTCACCGCCGTCCTCGGTAGCGACATCAAGACGCGCACGCCCGCGCGCATTCTCTTCCACCCGCAGTTGGCTGAGCTTAAGGCCCTCACTTTCCTCCGACCGCCGAGGTTGCCAGCGGAGTGCCCGATCGGCCCCGCGCCGTGCACGGAGGATCACGCCCACGTTTTGGACTGCGCCCGCGAAGGGCGAGATCTTATCCAGAGGCGTGCGTCCAGAGGCAAAATTCAGAAGCACCTAGACGTTTTGTACCGAGTCTGGGCTGATGCTGCTGAATGGGAGTTATCCAGGGTCCTTCAGACGGAGCTCATAATTTGGGGCTCCCGTGGACGTCGGCCTCGTTTGGCCTGGGTTTCGGCTCTGGAGAAAGATTCGCGAACCCCGACTCGTGATCCTGGCCTTGTGGCTGGTAGGTGGCTGTCAAGGACTACGAGGTTTATCTTGGGGGCTTTCGACTCTGGAGATTCTGGAGTTTTTAAGCGTTATCGGGCCCATTTGCTGGATCCCCCTCCTCATGTTCAACGTGCTTGGGAAGGGTTTCGAGATGATTATCGTCTTGGGTGCGAACTCCTCCACGGTTTTCAGGATGTTTGCGAAGATGATTCACGTTTTCGAGAGTTTCACGCTCAACTTGAGCCTAGATTAGCAGAGTATGCGAAGTCTTCCTCACAGCGTTCTCTAAAGGAGTGGCGTAGTTGGCTTTTGGACGGCGTCGACAAAGGGGGAAAACCGCCCACCGCTGGGCCCGCGAGCTGAAGCCCTGGGTGGCCACGACCACGCTGTCGGCCGACGGCTTGGTCCTCTCGGATCCCATGTCCCTCCTGAAGTCGGAAGGGGAACGTTTCGGGGCTCTCTGGGAGTCTGCCTCGCACCCGCCGCCTGAGGATCAGGCGCCCCTCGAGTTCTTGGAGCCTTTGGAAGTACTCTCGGCGGACGATTTGATTGCTGCGAGTAAGACTTATCCTTTAGGCACGGCTTCCAGCGTTGATGGGTTTCACATGCGGCATTTCGCCCTTATGCATCCCGACTTGCTGATTGCCGTCAGCACCATGTTTTCGATGATGGAGGCCACCAGTCTGTTGCCCCACCCCGCCCAGGTGCTGCTCACGGTACTGCTTCAGAAGCCTGCAGGAGGCTACCGCCCGATAGGGCTTTTTTTTTCGGCACTCTATAGGCTGTGGGCTCGCGCTCGGCGCCCTTACGCTGAGCGATGGGAAGCCGAACATCAGCGTCTCTATTTGGCTTCAGGTTCTTTCAACTCAGCCTCGGATGTGGTGCATCGTCAGGGAGTGAAGAGTGAACATATAGTCGGTCGAGGGATGAGCTGTTGTAAAGTCTTATGGGACCTATATAAGTTCTACGAAACGATTCGGCTTCCCAAGCTCCTCGACCGTTGCCAGTTGCTCGATTTCCCGATGCAGATCGCCAGAGTATCTTATAGGGCTTATCGTGGGGCTCGTTTCATATCGCTAGGAGGTCTTCTTCAGGGACCTCACTTTGCCACGCATGGGGTGGTTGCTGGCTGTAGCATAGCGACATCGTACGTCAGGGTTTACATCATCCCAACCGTGGATCCCATCAGGTTCCCCAAGCAGGTCTCCTTAGATATATACATAGACGACTATGGGCTATCGAGTTCGGGGACTTCGAAGTCGGTCGTGTCGTCTTTGAAGCGGGCCTCGGTGGACCTCCTGGTGGCCCTGGAGACCGATATGGAGGCGACCATATCTACTGATAAGGCTGCAGTAGTGGCTTCTCACGCCGACGTAGGACAGGAGATGAAGACGTTTCTTGGAGCGCACGGCGGCCCCTCGGCGGACACCAGCTCTGCAATCAATCTTGGGGTCGACGACGGTGCTGGACAGGCTCGCCGCACCAAAGGTCGAGGTAGGAAGGCTCAGGCTAGACAGGCTCAGTTTAGAGCCCGCTGCCGACTGGTGCTAAAGGCTCGTCAAGCTCTAGGCCGACACACTCGCAGGATCTTTGTTTCAGGGCCGCTGGCATCAGTTACTTACGGCTCAGAGGTTTATGGAGTTTCTGATTATGAGTTGGGAATGTTACGTTCTGGCTTTGGGAAGTCTGTCAAACCTTCGGCGGGGTCCAGGTCCCTTACTTCGCTGTGTATTCTGGAAGGGGACCCAGTTTATCATGCTGCCATTTCTCCGATTGCCAGATATTCCAGGGAATTGTGGGATGCCCAGGTTCAGCAGACTCCCTTTGCTCTAGGCTTCGCGGGTCTACGCGACGCTTGGACTCAGACGTGGGCCAACCCGCCAGCTGCTTGGCGGCAGGTGCGGGGCCCCATAGGTGCTATGTTTCTGTCCCTCAAGCGCATCGGCTGGAGCATGCCCAGCTACGCGCAGATGACGAACGACCTTGGCGTCACCTTCTCTCTCACGACCTCTTCCCCCAAATTGATCAAGAATCTTCTGCGGGAAGCTGTCATTCGTCAACTGTGCCGGCTGTCAGGCGAGAAGCTTGGCGTTGGTGCCAGGCTCTGCTATGATTCTGTGATTCGCGACCTCAGCAGTTCGAAATACACGCCGTTCGAGAAAGGCTCGATCAGAGCCAACGTCTGCGGTGCTTGTTGGACCAAGGAGCGGGCGACCCAGTGCGGTTATCAACTCCAGGACACGTGTTGCGCTTTGTGCGGCGGGCCCTCGGACTCGATTTTCCACAGGCTTTGGGTTTGTCCTGACCCTGAGGTCGCGGAGCTCAGACAGGAAATTGTAGATCCCGATGTTTTGCAGGCGGCCAATGAGATTGACCCTGCTTCGTGTTCCATGGAGGACTGGATTTTGTTCACCAAGGGTCTCTTCCCACATCCTGGGGACCTTCACCCCCGTCTTGTTCCCGAATGTGCTCCAGAGTTTCGTTGGGAGGTAGATCAAGAACACGAAGATGAGCAACTGTTTTCTGGATCCTATGTGTTAATGGATGGTTCTTGTCAGAAGCACGTAGTGAAATAATTAAGCAGGGCAGGGTGGGGCATAGCGGTTTTTGATTCTCAGCAGGTTTTGAAGCTTAGAGCCTGGTCCCCCCTTTGGGATCGGTTTCCCCAGACCCCTCAGGCGGCCGAGTTTGGGGCTCTAGCTTATTCTAGTCTTTGCCTCACTGACCCTGCTCCAGGTTACACAGACTGTGTGAATGTGTGTAGGGCCTTTAAGTTCGACCGTTCTAAGAAGCTGTCGTACAAGAGGCCTTACTCGGGCCTCATGATTAATGTTTTGGGGACCCGTTTTTCTGATTTGATCAAAGTGAAGGCCCATGTGGCCGAGTCGGACCATCTCTCCCCCGAAGAGCGTTCCTTTAAAATCGGGAATGACGAGGCTGATCGTTCAGCCAAGCTCGGGGCCGCTGCTCACCCCAGGTGTACCAATGAGCAGCAGACTAAGCTGGATTGGCAGCTCAAGGTGTCGCGCACAGTCTCGCGCCTGGCGGCCAAAGTTCTTGTTTCTTGGCCGCGTCTGGACCTCGCAGACGTTCCCTACATCGTTCCTCCTCGCCCTCACCGCCTTGGGGCTGAGGTGCCTGAGGGAGAGCATGTCTGGGTTTGGGTCAAGTCTTTTTGGAGGTGCAATCGTTGTCTCAGATTTCGCAGGCAAGCAGCGCGTCCCTCGTGCGAGGGCTGCGCAGGAGACCTGCCCCTGGTTGCTCGTTCTGTGATTGAACGGGGTCACTCGTGTCTGGCGCTCGAGTGCTCGAACGATCAGATCTTAATTATCTGCACCCGCTGCAAAGCGTTTTCGACCCTCGGACAATTTAAGCAGCTCCGCCATGAGTGCACACGCCCACTCGCAAAGGCAGCGGAGTATTGGTCCAGGGTGAAGCGAGGCTGGCACCCGAAGGAACGCATTCGGGTGGAGACAATCCCCATCAGGGAGTAAGGCTGGTGGCTGGCAGGGCGCTCGTCGAAAAACTCCTCCTCCTCCTCCTCCCCCTCCCCCTCCCCCTCCTCCTCCTCCTCCTCCTCCTCCTCCTCCCTCCTCCTCCTCCTCCTCCTCCTCCTCCTCCTCCTCCTCCTCCTCCTCCTCCTCCTCCTCCTCCACCTCCTCCTCCTCCTCCTCCTCCTCCTCCTCCCCCCCCCGCGCCTGCAAGAGGCCAGCGGCCGCCCCGGCGCCCCAGTGCGCGGCCGCGGCGGCAGCGTTCCAGGCAGGCCGACGACGTGCTCCGCAGACCGACCTCGGTTTTTGTTTCCGAGCAGCTCTTCTGGCCCGTTCGCGGGCGTGCTTGGCATCCTTCCGATCAAGATCGGCAACGACACCATACGGCAACCGATTGAAAGTAGCCAGTCTCCTCCTCCTTCTCCTCCTCCTCCTCCTCCTTCCTCCTCCTCCTCCTCCTCCTCCTCTTCTTTCCTTTTCATTATCCTATTCGTGTCTCCCCATTTTCCCCCTCCTCACTTTCCACTCCCGGGGGAGTATCCTGAGATCCGACGTCGTGGAAAGCACGTCGTCGCGACAATTCACGACTGGAATCGTCGACCTTCACGGGGTCCATTTCGATCTGATCGTTCTTGCTCGGTAAAGATCCGAGCTGGCCCGATCCGATTCGACCTCGACATCCGACGACCCGATCCGTCCGATGCTTGCATGGTGCCGTGGTTCATCTTGGCGCTGCGGCCGACCCAACTCGATGCCGACATTGTGCTGATGCAGCCCGATTCGATGCGCATTCCGACCCGGTCCGATTTCCCAGTTCGATGTTGAGTCAACATGTCCTATCCTATTGTTTGGTTGCGCTATATCTCTCCTTCCGGATCGAGCTACGAGGCCTTCCCTCGGGCACCTAGGCCAGGCAGAAGCGCACGCTGATAATTCCTGCTGCGACGCCCAGGTCAGGGGGGAGGTGGACAGAACAGAACATCCCGTTGAGGTCCGCGTCGTGTCGACCGGCGGCGACCCCGCCGCTGGCGTTCAACGTTGAACTCCGCAGGCGACCCAGAATCGGTCGATGCTGAACGATCCGACGTTTCGGAATCGGTCGATCGTTCCAGGCTGAACGATCCCCGCGGTGTCAGAAGCCAGTGCCGAACCTGCCGTATGTGTGTCCTCTTCGCCGAAGGAAAGAAAAACGGCACCACCACCACCTGGGGTGCCACCTCCAGTGATGAGTCCCACGATGCCTACAGTCAACCCGCATAGTCAGGATGGGCAAGCTTCCCAAGGGTACCCTTGCATCCTTGCCTCCTCGGTTCATCCTTGGCCACTTTCGCTGGCCGCGCCCCGCTCGAAGATTTTCGAAATGGGCGTCCAAGGCCCTTGCATCCTTATCGCGCATCCTTGTGATACGGGCCGACTGTATCCGAGCTGGGGGCCTGGGATGGCTCGAGCGGGGACGGGGGACCACACCACCAGAAGGACCCCCACTTGGGCTCCTCGCGCTGAGTATGATGCCGTCGTGCTTCCTGCTTCCTGCTTCAGGGGCCACAATAGGGAGGGATAGGCACAGGGGGGGATGCATCGACCCCCAATCGCCGATTGATCGCCGATGGGGGCCCGATAGCCCCAACCTGCCCAGGAACGTGCGGACTCACTATCGGAGGCCTAACTACCGCCGATCTATCGGCGATGTATCGCCGATTCCAGGTCGACGTTCCCCCCCCCTGTCCCTGTCCCCCCCCCTTATTGTTGCCCCTTACTGCCTCGGGGCGGTCGTGTTATAACTCAAACCGTCGTTGAGTGGCGAGCCCGTCGAGCACGGCTCGCGCAGCACCTCAAACGGGTTGCCAGTTGCCGGCGGAGGGGAGGAGGAGGAGGAAGGGAGGAGGAGGAGGAGGAGGAGGAGGAGTGGAGGAGGAGGAGGAGGAGAAGAGGAAGAACATCACCAGAATGGGAACGCAGGTGATTCCGTTGTTGAGGCGGAGGCTGAGGAGGAGGAGGAGGAGAAGAGGAAGAAAAAGCTCGCCAGAATTGGAATGCAGGCGATTCCGCTGTTAAGACACACGGCGATGCGTCCGAAATTTCAGCGCTTGGTGTGTCCGACATACCATATCCTGACAGTGAAGAGGGACTGCGTGAGAATTGCCAAATGGAAGGCCAGACGTTGGTTCTCCCACACAGCAGGAGTCGGTTGCAAGTACCAACCCGCCTTCGGCCACCAAGGGTACGCCAATGGCGCCATCGGCTTCACCACCACACGGAGAGCAGCATCGGCAGGAGTAATCACCTGAAGGTTGCCTTCAGGAGTGGGAGGCCCCCCAGAGGCCAGCCCGAGACCATCTGCCCAACCTAGCATATGTATTCGGACCATCTAGGCGCAGGGCGGTGGGCAAGCAAGCCCCCGAGCCAGGTGGCTTCTTCCTTCTTGCCAGATTCCCGTCGACATGTGGCGCTTTCGATGTCTAAGTCGTTGCGGTGACGGCTTGGAGCACAGTCGGTTCGATGGGATCATCTGGCGAGAGCGACGAGACCTCCCGACTCTGTGTAGGTGACCCGGTGCTCCCACTGGAGCCCTGGTATCACCCTGCGCTTCTCTCCTACACGGGAAGGCGGCACCATTCTGGGCGCTTGGAGGCGGCTTTTGTGCCCTGGACCTCGCCCCAAGAAGTTCGGGAATCCCAGCTCTAAGCACGTCTATGCCTCAGGCAAGCTGAAGATCTCACCAGAGGTGCTCGCCGATTTCCTCGGCTTCAGAACCCAGGGGACGCCACGCCACAGCTTCGTGCCTCTCCCAACTCAGATGCCCCAGCGTCCTGGCCCGAGAGATCGAGTGCCCATGGGGGGCGCGCGCCTGCCCTCTCCTCGCCTGTCGCGCGACGGGGACAGCGTGAGCAGCATCAGCGCCCCCGGGGAGCACCTCAGCTCGGGCATGCGCAGCTGCTCGAGAAGTGGGAGGATAGGAGGAGGAGGATAGGAGGAGGAGGAGGAGGAGGAGGAGGAGGAGGAGCATTATCAGGAGCAGCAGCAGGAGGAGGAGGAGGAGGAGAGGAGGAGGAGGAGGAGGAGGAGGAGGAGGGAGTACGTCTCGGCTTACACTTCTTGCCTGAAAGTGTTTTGGAGCATCCGTTGCTGCATCCTTATGCGCTCTTAGACCTCCAAGGTAGCGAACGGGGTGACCATCCAGAAGCTTCCGATGTATGGATCTGTATTGATGGCTCCCTCCACCAGGATAGTAAGGAGAACGGGGCGCTCGTGGTTGTTACTGAGGTTGGGGTACGTTGTGGTTCCAAGTCTTTGCGGCGGCCCGCAGCTCTGAGTCAACTCATTCTGAGACCCTGGTGAACCTGGGAATGGCACCCACATGGAAATTCACAGTGAGACCGCCGCCTTGCTTTGGCTCCTCATGCCCCCCCGAGGAAGATGTAAGCCACAGGCCTCGCGCTACTGTCGGCGGGGACAAACTCGCCGCGATAGGGTTCGCTTCGGCTGCGTACCATCCCGCCCTCGATAGTCATTAGGGAGGGTCTCCCAATGCCTACTGGACGTTGTTGACGCTGCAGCCCCTGCGCCACTGGTGGATTTGCCCCGGTCGCGGTTTCGCTGCCCCGCCTCGGGGGCCACCGCCACTGCAGATCGCCCCCACCTTGCCCACACCGCCACACCGGACAGCTGGCTGGGGCGCTTCCCCCCTCGCTCTGAGGGGTCCCGCCCGTGCGTCACTTGCACTGGGCGTCGCGTAACTCCCGCCGTGATGCCGTGCACCGGCTAGAGGGGCGCTCCTTCTCCTCCGCCCCTGTCCCCCGCCCCGCCCCGCGTCTGAAGCATGCTGGCCGCCCCCTCCGCGGGGCCGCCGTGCGCCCCACCGCCTTGGGCTCCCCGCCGTCCGCCCAAGGGCGCAAGGAGTTACCTTACGACAGATGCCCATCCCTATCCCCTGGAGTTACTGCACATGCGTGTTGGCAACAAGCCAAGCTCTTCATGACAATCGTTGCTCATCGATGCTCAGTAAACCGTCGTCAACTCCAAGCTGGAGACACCTAACGCTGACTTATCGCATGATGCGATGAAACATCCCCTACATCATAATCCTGGCCAAACGTTGTTAGCAAGAGCTTAGACGCACGTGTCAGACCAATTTTTTCAGAAGCATGCACCCAGCATGCTCAAACGATCACATATCCTAACTCCACAAAATCTTGATGACCGCTGTCGTCTTCGTCTTCGTCTTCCTAACTATTAACTTTTTGGCATGACAATTCGTCTTCTTCTTAACTAACTTGTTGGGCTCGGTCTGGTTCGTCTTCGTGAGTTTCGTCTTTACGTGTCGCCGCGGCAGTACGCCGCTGCCGTTCACCGCTCTCCCGCCGGCCACCTGGCTTTCAGCCGCCGCCGCCGCCGCCTCCCACCTCTCACTTGCCCGGTCACGCCCGCACTGTGGCTGCTGACCTCCCCCCTGGGTGCGCTGCGAAGCCGTCCCGCAGCCGCTGCCAGCTTGGACCTCCGCCTGGCCGTGCCCATGCGGTCACTGCAGCCCCGCTGCGTGAGTGCGCCCCCGCGCTCCACCTCCCTCCTGCGGCCGCCGGTTCCTCTCCTCCTCCCCTCCTGCACGCGGGGCTGATTCATGGCGCCGCGACGTAACAATGTAAGAAGCTTTCCCTCCTCCCCCTATGTCAGGTCCGCGTCTTGTCGACGCTGCGGCGACCCCGCCGCGGGCGTTCAAGGTTGAACGCCGCCAGTGGCCAGAATCGGCCGCCGTGGAACGATGTGGCGACCGAAGAGATGCCGATCGTGCAAGGTCGTCACGACACGAACGTGCCGTACTTCCCTCTGCGCGCCGCCAACCTTCGGTCACCTCCCGGCGCCGCTCCCCTTGCGTGCCCGAGCCGCCGCAGGTGGAGACCCGGCACCCCCACCCTCCCAGCGCCGCCGCGGGGGCCGCCGCCGCCGCCGCCGAGCCCACGGCGCCGGTAGCCGCGGAGGGCCCCGCCACGTCGGGCCCGCGCTGGGGGGGATATCCTCCTCTTTTGCCGCCGCCGAGCTGACGACGAACCAGTGTCCTCCTCCTCCTCTTCCTCCTCCTCCTCCTCCTCCCCTCTCCACCTCCTCTCCTCCTTCTCCTCCTCCTCCTCCTCATCATCATCATCATCATCAACCTCATCATCATCATCATCATCATCATCATCATCATCATCATATCATCATCATCATCATCATCATCATCATCAGCATCAGCTCAGCATCAGCATCAGCATCATCATCATCATCAGCAGCAGCAGCATCATCATGATCATCGTCGTCGTCGTCATCATCCTCCTCCTCCTCCTCCTCCTGCTCCTCTCTTTCCACTCTTCCCTCCTCTCCTCCTCTTCCTCCTCCTCCTCCTCCTCCTCCTCCTTCTCCTCTCTCCTCCTCCCTCCCTCCCCTCCTCTCCTCCTCTCCTCCTCTCCTCCTCCTCCTCCTCCTCCTCCTCCTCCTCCTGGGGCATAACATGTCCTGGCAGGCCTATAGGAGTGCCGGGGCAGTCGGTCTCTGCTCAAGCATGGACTCTGCGAGCTGCTTTAGGCCGGCGCTCGAGAAGATCCTCGAGGGGTCGGTCGCACAGTCGCCTGGGGTGGCACCTGCAGATCTTTGCGACAGAAGTTTCGTTGATGCTCGAAGTCATTCTAGGATCGTCTCTGCGTCGATCGGCGATCTCATCTGTCGAGGGGGCCCCCTCCTCCGCGGCCACGCGCATGGCCCCGACGTGCTCGCGTCGCGAGAAAAGAGCACGGCGGGAGGCTGCTGGCCATTTTCGGCTTCCTGGGGGCCCTCGCGGGGCCTCGGGGCCGTCATGTTGGGGCTCTGGAGGAAGAGCCGGCCGGCCCCGGGGAAACGGTCGGGACTTCTGGGGAGCACGCGCTGAAGAGATCAAGACTTTGCATGTCTCGGGGGTGACCCCTCGCCAGAGCGACCTGTGGCGCGGCCCTGACTCCGGATCCGCCGTACTTTGGTTAATTTTCCGATTTCAGACTGTGTGGGAAATGCACCCCAAACGATATGAATAAGTAGGGCGAGTATTTCTGCCTCGGGAATGGGCGGCTAGTTTCGTAAATGTATGGCGGAAGCAACTGAATAGCAGGGCGGACATCGACATCAGAGGAGCTCGAAAAGTGGGGCGGACATGTCCGCCCTACTTGCGAAATCGCCCGAAGTACAGGCCGAGCTTCTGATCGAGAAGCATCCTCCCGAAAAGCTGGGGACCAGCGTTCCTCAGCGAACCTGCCGGAAAGCTTGCCCAGCTTCTTGGGCACGCTCGCCCCCTCCAGCGTCAAGAACAGGAGTTGGCCCAGGCTTACTCTAAGAAACTTCAGGGGAGCTGGCCCAGATGTGTTCAATGCTGGTTCTCTGCATCACATTTTCGGCTGTGGGGCGAATCCGGAGTCTGGGCGCGGCCCCCTGCACGGCCGCGCACTGGAGGTCCCTTTGGCCCAGGGCCACCTCCTGCGTGTGGCCTAACCACTCCCCCACGCTGCGCTCCTGCCGATGCCTGCCGCCGCCGCCGGAGAGGGGCGAGTGAGAACCTGCCAGATAGGGCGGTGCTCAGAGGCAGGGCGGTCGTGGGGTGTCCAAAGTCTTTCGGAAGGCCTCGGGGCCCGGGGTGGTCTCCAGCATCAGCTGCGCCTCTTTGGGGGCGTTCCGGGGGCGCCGGCATCGTCCCGAACGGCCGCCCGGCAGCCGAGTGATGACCCAGTTCAAACCAAGGGGCAACGTCAGCGGGGGATAGGCTCAGCGGGGGCATGCCTCGACCCCCGATCGCCGATATGAGCCCGATAGCCCACCTCGCCCAGTTACGTGCGGCTTCGCTACCAGGGGCCCATCGCCGATCTGTCGGCGATGCCTCGCCGAACCGAGGTCGATGTCTCCCGCCCCGGGGCTCTTGGCAGGCCGGCCAGGCGATTCTTCTGGCTGGCCCCGTGACGCCACGAAGGCCCGCGGCCCCGCCGCGCGCCTCCGCTCGCGGGGCGCCGCTGCCGCCCAAGGGGCGGAGGCGTGGTCCTCCGAGCCGGAGGAATCCCCGACGGCCTCGTGGGCCCCGAGCGGCCGCCAGTCATGGCCCGAGCCCGGTGCCCCAGAGGCCAGCGCCCCTGGCCCCTCCGCGTGCCCTCGGGCTTCCGCTCCGCTTCCGACGAGACTTTCCATACACGCCACCACCGCGCGCCAGGCCAGAGCCATCCTGGGCCCCAGGACCAGGAGGGTGTGTAGACCCTCCCGGCACCGGCCAGGAGGGCGTACACACACCCTACCGGGGCCAGGAGAAGGCCCTGGCCCTTGGTCCGGTGGTGGTGTGCGGATGCCTTCTGCGCACTCGCTGGCTCGAGGCCAGGTGGGGCGGGGGGGGGGGCCAGCGGCAATGGAAGAGGCAGAGGACGGCAGCGGCGGCCAGGACCCCCTCGGGCCCCGCGGGCCGCGCGCTCCCTCGGGCCCGGGCGCCGTCGCAGGCAGCGGGCCGGAGTGGAAGGGCAGGCCCCAAGACCTGTAGGGCACGGGGCCGAGGGCTTGGGCAGGCCGAGGCGGAGGATGACTCGTTCCAGAGTCGACGAATCAGGCGCACTCCTCCTCCTCCTCCTCCTCCTCCTCCTCCTCCTCCTCCTCCTCCTCCTCCTCCTCCCTCGCCGGATTGGCCTTTGGTGCGGGCCCACCGGGGTCCCCTGATCGCTGAACGCGAAGCGGTGGTAGCAGCGGCTTGCGCGCCCAGGTTTGGCCACCCCGCGTCCCCCGTGAAGCCGCGCACCAAAGGTCACTCTCGCTCAGGGTCGCTCCTGCGTGTAGCCGACAGCGTGCTCTGGGGCGCTCTCGGAACGCTCCAACAAGAAGCTCTGGAGCGACCGCGGCGCCCGCAGACCTGCGCGCCCGTCTCGGGTCGGCGCTGGGCCCTCCCATGACGCCGACCCGCGAGAACTGTGCGGACCTCCGAAGTTAGTGTGCTGCGCAGCCTCTTTTGTTACCGTACATCGACAACATGTTGCATCACTTTAGACGGGCCCTGGACTGGGTGCTGCAACACTCCGTCTCCCCCCCCTCCCCCCCTCTAGTATTGAAGGCATGCGAGGAGGAGTTGCTTGGAATGCCCCAGGCAATCGACAGAATGTTGCACCACCGAGCTGTCTCGGCGATCCCCGGACCGGGGCCAATTTTAGAGTGGGGGGTGGGGGGGGATGAGATGGAAACATCGATTTGAACACAGTGCCCGGTGTCTTCGGCACCAGGTGGTGCAAGATTTTGTCGATGTGCCGCATTCTGGAACCCTCGGGCGCCCCACAGGCGCTCGGAGATCGCCCCGCCTTCCCCCCGCCCAGGTCACAGCCCAGGCGCTGGAGTCGGGGCCGCGTGGGGCTCTGGAGGGGGCCCGGGTCCTCGGGCGCCGCGCCTCGGATATATCGAGCCCCATCCGTGGCCGAGGCTCGCCGTGGCCAGACGGGCCCCATTCGTTCCCTGTTTGGCGTTCCCTGCGACATCGCAGAACAGCATCTGGCAGAAGCAGGCAAGCTGTCGGAGGTCCGCGCGGAGGTCTTGGACCGGCGCTGGAGCCCCCTGCCCTGGTGCGCGGAGCTCGGGGCCAGAGCGGGGGCGTCTCCGGAAGCCAGGCTCTGGACCATGCCCTGCCCCCGTGGCGCCCACAGTAGAGGGCAGCAGCCAGGGTATGGACAAAACATCGATCGCCTACCTGGGGAACGCAGCCCCAAGAGGGCCCAAAGCTAGGACAAGCCTGCAGTCTCGTACCTCTCAAGGGAGAGAGGGAGAGGTAGAGAGAAAGAGAGAGAGAGAGAGACAAACACAACGACAACACCGACAACAACACGAACAGCAACAACAGCAACAACAACGACCACAACAAAAATAATAGCAGCCAACGACCAACAACAACAACCGCAACAACAATAACAACAACAGCATCAACAACACTCATATGAACAACTATAACAACAACGATAACGACAACAACAACGACAACAACAACAATCACTTTACCCGAACGCTCAGTGTTCTCACCAGTGCCAGGGTTTTCATGCGACGCCAGCCAATACCCCCACTTTGTGGGGGGGCAGTGCAAGCTCTACCAAATATCCACACGACTCTTCGCCACCACCCACACCCAGCTTCCCGCCCTATGACGTTCGGACACTTCACTTCGTGGCCTGCGGACGACCGTGGCTACTACACTGGCGTGGAGTACACACCCACAGAAGTTGTTAAGCCTACGTTCGTACACCCACAGAAGTTGTTAAGCCTTGTTAACCCACAGAAGTTGTTAAGCCTTCCACAGAACATCTGTTGCATATGATGCATATGGTACATGATACACATGATACACATGATTCGGACAGCGCGCGCGGGTGGAAATTTTGAAAAGTCGTGCAGGTGTTTTTCGAGGACCTACGGTGCGATTCGTGTGATTTTATGATGCGCGGTGCTAAAATTCTTAAAAACCCAATGGTTTTTGGAGATTTCGGCGTGCGCGCGCGAAGAAAAAACGAATGTGTCCCGCATGGTATTATTTGACAGGGATGATGGCCCTGGCAGGTGCGCAACCGTTGTCGCAGAAGTTCGAAAAAGTTGCTCGCAAAAGCCCGTTTGACAGAAATGTTTAAAAAGTGTTGGGTTTCCTACGAATCCGCAAGAGCGCGCGGGATGAGATTTTGACATTTTTTTGTTGAAAAACCATTGGTTTTTTGATGTTTTTATGTTAAAATCGCTCCGAACACTAAGCTTTTGGAAGGATTTCGTCTTGCGCGCGCGAATGTCCACTTTACCTTATTTTTTGCAAGGGATTCTTGAAATTTGATTATATTAGAACAAGAAATGTCATTTTATAGTGTTTTTTGCAAGGGAAAGCGGGGGGGAACAAAACAACCGGATCTTGATCACATCGAATTACCTGAGGCTTCCTCACGAAAATGATGAAAATGTAGCTGCGGCCTAGGCGGCGCAGGGGGGCCGTGCACCAGGGGTCCCAACAATAATTATTTTTTAGAATTAATAATGTTCAATAACCCCAACGATCACGACAACGACAACGACAACGACAGCAGCAACAACAGCATTTTAAGACTGATCGCTCTTCTTTGTTCGCGTGCCATTCAACACGAGCATATCCCAGACCCTCGATACCCGCCCTCTTCGTCTTCGATCGTACCTCCTTGGGGGTCTATATGTTTCGTACCTGCAGCGTGTATTTCGTGCAGCCCCTAAGGCAGGGGAAGAGAGGACGGATGGAAAGAAGGGACAAGGGGGAGGGAGGAGGATGGAGCACGAGAGAGAGCAGCAGGAGGGGGCCAGAACCAGACGGGTAGACGGGGCAGGTATACCCTAACAGGCGAGTCGGGAAGGCGGGCCCAGGCGGCCAGGTCGAGCAGGCGGGTTGCTGAAGCGTGCGTCCTGCATGAATCGCGAGGAGGTCTCGCGCGATGGCGCGATTCCCAAACAAGTCGTGACCAGCGAGAGCGTGACTCCTGAGTGTCGAGGGCGCGGCGTGTCAATATATTGCGAGGAAGTCCCACGCGAGAGCGCGATTTCTGCATACATTTTGAGGACGTCCCGCGCGAGAGCGCGATGTGGGAATACATCGCGAGGAAGTATTAAGCGGGAACCGTTGTTGCTGTAGTCTGGGTGCCAACAACACAGGTCGGTAACACCCCGCTTTCCATTGTAAAGAACAGAACGTGAGCCCAGACATAAGCATTTCAAGTGAGAAGTGCAATGGTTACTGGGCAGGGGGGGTCACCAATATTTATTATTTGGAAATGAGAGTTTAACCACACCAACAATGATTATAACACCAACATCAGCAGCACCAGCAACAGCGACAGCAACAGAAACCGCAACAGCAGCAGCAACAACACCACCAAGTCCACAGAGAGGGGGATGGAGAGACACTATGCCCTTTGCTTCTCCCTGTTCCCAGGATTGCGCTGGTACGTATATCGTTCCCCTCCTCCGTCTGACTCTCCGGCTCAGCACGCCCATGCGGATCTCGGCCTCCTCTTGAACAGAACCTGTGTCGCCCTCTCTGCTGTCTCGGTGGACCCCTTTCTTGTCTATCTCTATCTTGTCTGTCTCCATGGGATGCTCCGATGCAGGTGCGCCAGTTGAAAGCGTGGTACATCTCTCTCGCAGTACGAGCGGGACGGGGCGGGCGGTCCGCAAGAGTTTGGGCCCAGGTGCGTGGACGCTCACCACTGTTGTTGCCCCCCGCCTGTCCCAGTCTTGCCCTCGCCCGTCTGCCCCTCGCCGCCCAAGTAGCAGAACCCACGGAGGACCGCAAGATCTCACCCCTTGCCGCGCTGGTCGAGGTCGACGCGGTGGTGTTCTGCGTGGGGGTCCTCGTCTGGTTCGTTTGGAGGTGCACCACGTGTAGGTGCATCCGTCATCAAGAAGGCTCCCTGGTCTCTCGCCCCCTGCGCGTGTTCCGAGCGTGCGCCCCTCCACGCTGGGCCCCGCGAGTTAACATATGTCTGGCATGTCTTCAGACTCGGAGGCACGTCCCCCCGTTAGGCCACTGCATCCACCCAGACGTTGACCGCCTCTCTGTTTCTATCCCTCTCCCTCTCTTTCTTCCTTTCTTAGGTGTGCACATCTCTGTCCAGACCCCCCTCCCTCTCTCTCCATTCCCTCCTGGCCTCCTCTCCTTCGCACTCACCATCCCTCCATCCCCCTCCACCCCCCCCGCCATCCCTCGCATCCACCGTCACCCAGCTAACCCCACCTCCACGTGTCGAGGAGGAGGAGGAGAAGGAGGAGGAGGAGGAGGACGAGGAGGAGGAGGAGGAGGAGCAGGAGGAGGAGGAGGAGGCGGAGGCGGAGGCGGAGGCGGAGGCGGAGGCGGAGGCGGGGAGGAGGAGGAGGAGGAGGAGGAGGAGGAGGAGGAATAGGAGGGCCCCCTCCGACGTGACGCCTCCTGCTGCTGCTGCCGACGTCGACGCGTCCTGCTGCTGCTGCTGCTGCTTCTGCCCCTCCGCCCCCGCGAGGCGATGCACGGCGCGGCGCAACGAGGGCAGGCGAGCCGAAGCGAAGCGACTCCTCCTCACTGCTCCTCCTCCTCCTCCTCCTCCTCATCATCATCCTCATCCTCATCCTCATCCTCATTCTCATCCTCATCCTCATTCTCCTCCTCTCCCTCCCTCCGTCCCTCCCTCCCTTCTCCTCCTCCTCCTTCTCCCCCTCTTTTCCTCCATTCCTTTTCCTTGTAGATGCTCCTCCCTGTCGCACCTCGACGCCGGTCGAATGGGCGAGCCGGGCGTTTTATGACCTCGATGCTTAACCATTGACAGCAGTTTCACAGATGGAGGGCGGGCCGTTTTCAAAGTGTGGCTCTCGCCCTAATACCGCGCACATTTTTTTGGGGGGAATGCAAACGTGTCGCGGATCGAGGGGGGGTCGTTTTCAAAATGTGGCTCTCGCCTCAGCGCTGCGCACATTCTTTCAACAAACATGGAAAGGGCTTTACGGATTGAGGGCGGTTCGTTTTTCAACCGTGGTTCTAGCATATGCGCCGCGCACATGCGTTAACAAATGCCAGAGTTTCACGGATTGAGGGCGGGTCGTTCTCAAAATGTGGCCTTCGCCTTAGCGGCGCCCACATTCGTTTTGAACAACTGCGAGAGTTTCACGGATTGAGGGCGGCTCGTTTTCAACATGCGGTGTTCGCATTAGCGCAGCGCGCATTTCTTTTCAACATGCGC